GGAAAAGCCAAAATATGTCCAAAACCTAAGGAAAAGCAATGAATTTTGCCTCTTGGGGCCCTCTTGGGAGTACGCTTGGAGACCTCTTGGAGCGTCTGGGGGCCATCTTGGGCGTCTTGGAGCGATCTTGTGGCATCTCGGACGCCTCGTGTACCATCTTGGGGACCTCTTGCGGGCCTCTTGGTTTTGTTTGGGTCCTCGGGGACGTTTTCGGAGCCCTGTTGGTGCGCTTGTGGAGCGCTCGGGGGGACCCGGCCGGGACCTGGTCGGGGTACTTTTCGTCTGGGGACCCCCAGGGGCCGCCCCGCGCGCGCGAAGTAGAAACATTGTAGAGCAGTTACCGGAGATCTTAGCACGCCTCTGGCCCGTTGGGCCGGCGAATTTTTTGGCTATGAGTGTATGGCCATCCGCGAAAGCCACGTGCGTGAGGCAGTTTCCGTTGATGCTTTGCCCCGTCAAGAAGCCATACTTTGTGCGATTCCACGTGCTCCTCACTTCGGATAGGACCTGGTCCAACACCAAACAATGCCGGAGATACGGGTCTCCTTGTTTCACACCCCGCTGAAAGTCAAATGGCCTTTTGCTTTGCACCACCCCATAAAGAAACAGATCCTTTGACTCCGTGGCGCAGCCGTCTCAATACGCAAATTGTAGAAGCAGAAGTGCAAGAATCCAACACATGCAAAAATAATGCCGAGTGGTGCACGCGATCCAAAGCTTTCTCGACATCGAGAGTGGCGACCCAAAGCTCCTCACCCCATTCAAGTCACTTTCAATGAACGTTCTCACGATGTGTATTGCGTATGCGCAACCACGCTTTAATCTGAATCCGGATTGCTCTTGGGTGCCTGCTTTACCATACGGTGCTAGACAAATTCGCCATCCGTGGCAATATTGCTATCTGTCTGTATTTCGTTTGCAGTGGCGGGCCCCTTTTTCTGAACAACATGCGAACCTTGGGAACCTTTCAGTTTTCCGTTGGGTGCAAGGCCCCACCAAGTACATGCGAGAGATATTCTGCGATGGCACACACCAATTTGGTATGCCGAGTTTTCAACATTCCTGCCGTCAACCCATCGTCTGCCCCAGTTCTGCCGACCTTCAGCTTTCGCATGGCTTGGCGGAGCTTTGCCTCCGTAGTTCCTTCACCGGCAATTTCTTTCATAGGGGGCTCGATGGCGACACTGGGTATCCCTATACAGATGTTCACAAAATTGCGCGAAGACCTGGCTGATTGATGCTTGGTCCGTCTGGGTGACACCATGCTGGTCTTGGATCGCAAGAGTTCTTTGGTTGCCCTGGTGCCTTTGTTCAAACCGTCGAAGTGCGCCTAAATCAGCCCCTCTGGCGACAAGTCGCCTGGCGGTCCTTAAACGGAAACTGCGAAGCCACAAGGCGGAGTTTCGTGATTCAAGGTTCCAGACCAAGGCGCGCAGGGCGGCTACCAAAAGCAGAGCAAGCCAAGCTATCCTCTGAAGTCACCCGTTTTCTGTGTATCACGGTCGTCATGCTGCGCTTCCACTGCGCGCGCGCGCCCCGCTGTAGACTGCGTGCCCGCGTTGCAAACTGATAATGGTAACAATGCGTACGGGCTCTTTTGGAGCAACATTGCGTCCCCCAGCAAATCCTGAGGAAACAAATCGACCATGTCTTCTGCAGCTCCTTCCTCTAAGCCACTTGCGTTTCAGCACACTGCAGTAAAGTGGAAAACACTTTCTTATCAAGGCACGTCTTGCATTGCATTCGACTCGGCTGCCCCTGCCGGCGGCTCAGAAAATTGCACGGCAAGGCTCCGTCTACTTTCGCATACCTTCCCCTCCCCCCCCAATTGTTCTTCCACTGCATCTGCGTGCCTGCACTGGCGTTTCCTATTCGGCCTTCAGAAGCTCGTCGAGCTTGCCCCGGCACGCCTGCGCTTCCCCGATCAAGATCGCCTTCTTCTCTTTCTCGTCCCACTCGGCGACCCGGGTGTCCCCGAACCACACAAATATTTTGCGGTATTGTGTGTCGATGAGTGTCTTGACTCCTTTTGTGTCCTTCCCAGCGTTTTCGATGATCATCCTCGCTGCCTTCCGCACTGTTTTGGTCTTATGGGAAACAGGGTCGTGCATGGAGTCCGGATTTGCGTAAACCTTTACCCCCATCATTTCGTGTTGCAATTGTCTTGTATTATCTTTGAGGTCTTTCCACATCGATTCCTCGGATCTGACACGTGCCGCGTTTCTTTCAGAGAATTTGCCGAACGCGTACGAGTTGTCCTCTTCCTTAGCTAGCCCATGGTTTCCGCCTTCCACTTCATTACGTGCTCTGTTCGCCTTGGTGTCGTTGGGGAAGTTTCCCACCTCATTGCCCGTTAGCGCCCGACGATCTTGTCTGATTTCCTTGTTGCGCCTTCGGTGTTGTCCCAGTGTTCCCTCGCTGACCCATCCCCTCGTCGGCCTTCACGATTTCTTTGACGATACTTTGCAAGTCCTCCTTTTTCACGGCGCTCTCCCTGATGATGCCCACCCCCTATTTTACCATCTCCACCGCTTGTTTGGCCATGCTTGCTGCTATCTTCGCTTGCGTTGCCATGTCCCTCGCTTCCCCGACCTCTTTCATCGTAACATTCATGCGCTTGATCATTCAATTCATCATGCTTATCATATTTCTCATCCTGTCCTTCACCTCCAGTTCCTCCTCTTCCTTCATCTCGTCTCCTCCTGCAAGTCGTCCGCCTTCAACTTCTTATCTTCGGCGTCAGGTGGCCAGTAGACGGCTCGCCCGTCCATCCACCCTTCTTTCTGTCTTTGTCCATGGTGTTGGTCACAAGCCAGTGGTGCAGATATTATCTGCAACGCCTTGCACGGCGGAGCCCAGAACCGAAGCCCTGGTGCTTCGCGCCCTGGTGCTTTGGGCCCTGGTGCCTTGAGCCCTGGTGCTTTGGGCCCTGGTGCTTTGGGCCCTGGTGCCTTGAGCCCTGGTGCGTTGGGCCCTGGTGCTTTGGGCCCTGGTGCTTTGAGCCCTGGTGCCTTGAGCCCTGGTGTTTTGAGCCTCTGACAGCCCCCAATCGTCCTTGTTCTGAGGTCGTCGTTGGGGAGGCGCGCCGACTCCACGGGTTGCCTGAACGAAGGCCGTTTGACATTGTTTTGCGTTGCTCCAGCTGGAGCTCACGACCTGGGAGGGCTGGGAGGGACCAGGGCCAAAATGCCACACGCGGTCTGAGCTGCGGCCGTGCAAGAACGAGTGCGGTCATTGGATCAGAGGTCTTGAGTTGGTCGTGCCGCGATCTCAGCCCGCCATTCTTGCAGTCCTGAACCGACGTAGTTACGGACAGGAGGGGGATGAAGAAACCAGGGCGCTGAGGAGTGGGGAGGGGGGGGGGTAGAGGAAATGCGAGGATCGATTTTTGACAGTGCGGGGCCCCTGGAAGTCCCGACCCTTTCCCCAGGACTGGTTTTCCATCCTCGTTTTTGGATGGCCCCCGGGCCCGGCGAGGGCCCCAGCCAGAAACTGGTGCAACAACGCCCATGTTAACTTTCCAGGACACGAGCATAATGTGTGGGTCTGGAGGCCGAGACAAGGGCCGGCAGCGCTGCAAGACGTGCTGGACACGTCGCGAGGGAGAGGCGTCTCGGCCCTGGAGGGGCCGGCCAGGGGCGAGACCTGTGGGGAGGACGAGAGTGCGCGGCGCAGCGGCGCAGCGGAGCGGCCGCGGGGGCCGGGGGCGTCGGGGAGGAGTCGCGGCGTCGGGGGCTTTCTGGGGAGGAGGAGGAGGAACCGGACACCGCTATAGCCGTCCCTCAATATGCCCGCGTCGTGAAGAAATCAAGAGGAAATGTTTTTGGCCCCTCGCCGGGCCCCACCAACGATCGTTGTCTGACGTTTTTTCCATCCTGGGTCGACCGGGACTGGTTTTCCATCCTGGGTCGACCCAGGATTGAAATCCAGTCCTGGGGAAAGGATCGGGACTTCCAGAGACCAGGTATTGAAAAGTCCGGACGTCGAATTTCTGGGTCTCTCGTTCTGGCCCGCTTGGGCCTCCTTTCAGGCTCTCGTCGCCACGGCTGAATTCTCCTCTGCATTCCGATCAGAGCGCACCGGGGGAGAGGTCCGGGAAGCAGCGGCATCGGTATTTGTTCGCCCCCCCAGGCCTGTAATAAACCTCTAGGCAATCACTCGCAGGGAGGGCCACGAGCCTTGGGCGTTCTGCACAGCCGCTGTTCCGCGCCGGTCGTTTTCGTGATCGCCTTCGTCGTCGTCGTTGCCGTTGTCGTCGTCGTCGCCGCCGCCGTCACCGTCGTCGCCGCCGTCGCCGTCGTCGTCGTCGTTGTCGTCGTGCGCGTCGTGCTCGTCGTCGTGATAGTCGTCGTCGCCGTCCTAATTGTCGTCGTCCCATCATGAAAATAAGGGGTCTCGGAGGGAATTTGTTCTCGATGTTGTCGGTGAAACTTCGTTCCAGGGGCCTTCCCTGGGCACCGGGGCCGCAAAGGATTGCCTGGGACGGAAGCAGGCCCCACGGACACGGCTCCGAGGCCCAGGACACAATTTCTTGACGTCTGCATTTTTTGTCACACTGTAGGCCCTGAAGGTCTCGACGTATGCTTTTCATCCTGGATCTTTTTTCGATGGTCCCGTCCGTCGCCTGGTTATGGCCCTCAAAAGGAGGCAGAAAATAACAAAGCACGGCCCGCAGCGTTTTTATGAATGATGTGAGGGGGGGATGGGATGGTCGTCGTCGTTGCCGTCGTGGTCGTGTTGGGGGCGGCTGCGAGGGGGGTGCTGGGGGGGTATCATGGCTGGGGCACGATGCCTCTCCGGATCTCATGGCTCCCTCTTCTTCGTTCAAGGCGTCCCTTGGTCCCCCCTCTCGCCCGCGCACCTGCCTCAGGCCACGGTCTGCGAGCCCCCGCTCTTGGACGCCCCCCCCCCCCCGATCCGCCCGCGGTCGTGCCCGTCGCCGTCATCGCCGCCTCCCTCTCGGCGGCTCAGCGCGCCCGCACTGCCGCACCGCCGCGGAGGGCCTCCTGAAGTCCAGCAGCCAGCCCTCGGGCTTCTTCCGCGGGGACCTCCCACCCACCCCTCGCGCCCGCGCCAGGCCCATGCTCGAACACGTGCCCGGGGCGTTCGATGTCTCGAGTGCTCTGACACCTAGGGGCAGCTTCAGGCCCTGGGGCCCGTAAGGCGGGCGCCAACGGCGCGGAGACGAGGGGAAAGGAACAGGGCGGCGAGTTTTGGGGTGCCACGCGTGGCAGGAGACAGGACGTCGGAGGTGACGACGGAGTTCAATGTCTGGTCTGCCTTCTCCCCTATCCGCCTTCCTGGGTTCACGCTCCAGGAGGGTCTGGGGATGGCTCCCCGATCTGAGGGTTGGCGCCGCATCATATGCATCATAGCATCCCCGCTTTAGGGTTCGAACCGTCTGAGGGGGCCTGGCATACGTCCCGTGCTCTGTTCTCGCTCGAGGATGTGTGTGTGTGTGTTGTTGCTTCTCCCCGCCGCGTGAGCTGGGCCGGCGCGCGCGCTCGTATGGACTGTTCTACGCCGCGCTGCCGCGCGCGTGGCCGCACGCGAGGCTGCACGCTAAACGTGTGTGTGGGTGTGTGTGTGTGTGTGTGACGCAACTCCTGTATCCAAAGGGCCGCTCTTTCACTGCAGCCGGAAGGGTAGACCGGACAGGCAGCGGAGCACTATTTCTTTATCCCTCGCTACATGTTGCGCCCAAGTGCTATCCCACCAGGTAGGGCCTGATGGTTGTGCTATCTTACATGCTACCTTCCTTCTCGGGGCACGGGTTTAACCCGAACAAAGGGGACAGGACAAAAGAAGGGGAGGGTGACATACCATTGATCTGTGTGTGTTTTCGGCGGTGGGGTGCGTCTTCTGGTGAAACGAAGCCTGCCTGCTGTTCGCTACGGAGAAGAAGAAGCTAGAATATTGACTTTGGCTGCCGACTCAGCTTCGAGTTAGTTTCCACCTTTGGTGGCTTAGCCGACTCAGCTTCGACTTCGCGACGGCTTCTCTAGCATTGCCAACTCCGCTTCGATCCAGCGTCGTTTGTAGGTTTTTGTTCGAATGAGCTCAGGACTCAGTGCGAGACTTGAAGCTGGCACGACCCACCCGGGCTGCCCCTGTTCAACCGCCGGTCCGTGGGGGGCGGCGCAGTGGCCGCCTGCAGCGCCAGCCACTGAGTTTGATTTCAATATTTAGTTGAAGAAGGGGTGTTTGGAAAAGCCTGGAAGGCGGGTTGCCTTTGTGTGTGCGAGTGCGCGCACATCGTGCATGCGTGTGCCATGCCGTGCTGCGGTGCGGAGCGCCAGTGGGATGAAGGCGCAAACCTTCAGAGGACGGACATGCGAGTGCGTGCACATCGTGCATGCGTGTGCTATGCCGTGCCGCAGTGTGAAGCGCCAGTGGGGGGGGGGGGCGGAGCAGATCTCCGGAGGATGGGCAGTCTTGTCACTCTTGTCTTTCGTCTCCCATGTCCTCGTCTCCTCCTCCTCCTCTGGCTGAAGGGGAGGTTGACGCTACTTGGGGCGGGGGCCCGGTGCTCCGAGCCAGCAGATTGGGGGGATGCCAGCCCGTCTGTTTTGAGGTGATGCGGTGAGTTGCCGGGGTGCCAGCCCGTCGGGTGTGGGCCCCCTTGGTGGGCTGAGCTCGTGTTTCCAGTCTCGTCAGGAGAAGTAAGGAGAGGGATATCACACGAGTAGATAAGCTTTTTGGGCCGTCGTCGTTGTGGGCACGATGTACGTCACGACGGGGACTTCGAGTTCTTCAAGTGTATGTGTGTGAGTGTGTGCGTGTGTGTCTGTGTGTCTGTGTGATGCTGCCTCTGAGCTTGTCACGGTCCGTTCACCTTCTTCGGCCTTAGCCCTTTTCGACCTCCGGGGGCCTTCGCTGAGCCCCAGGACCGTCAAGCACCAGCTCGGGAGAAGGAGCATGTCCCTGGGAACGCTGTGAACCATACCTATCCTTCTCTCGGCTCAAGTGTTGGCGCATTCGAGAAAGGACTCCGTTTTTGTTGACAAATTGTTTGTTTTGTTGTTCCTCTCTCTCTCTCTCTCTCTCCCTTCCTGTCTCTCTCTCTCTCTCTCCCTCTCCTTTCCATCCTACGGCACCCAAGGCGGGATCGACTTTCTGACCTTCCCCCCCCTGCCACACGGGATGCCCCCCTCAGTGCCGTGGCCGAAGACACGGCCCAGACGACGGGCGGCGACAGGGCGGCGACAGGGCGGCGACGGCGGCCACACGGCCGCCAAACAGAAGACACGGCCCAGCTCTGTAGAACAGGAGTAAGAAGCCTTAAGTGCAAACACTGTTTGGGGAATATCGAGAGCACGGAGCAGGAGGAGGAACAAGGGCCATGGCGAACACGAGAACATTGGCCACCACCAGCACGAAGTCAGGAACGATCACGCGCACCAGGACGACGAGGGCGGAGGTCGTTTGGCGAGCTTCCCCCCTCAGCTGGCCACGCGCGGTGGCTTCTTTTTCTCGGTGGTCTTTGCCTTCAGCCTGTTGCCCCGTGCAGCAGCGGTCGGCACGCCTCCGCCTGGCCTGGCCAGCCGCGTGTCATGTACCCTCCGTTGCGGAGGCTCGGCCAATGCCCCGCGATGCAAGCCATCCCCCTCCCGCGCCGAGGGGCGAGGGCCACGGACGTGGACAGGACACGTGCTGGAGACGTCCGAGGACCGGAGTCCAGTTGCGTAGACGGTGGCTTCGCAGCCTTTTGGGTCAAGGTGGTCGTCTGGCATGCGCGGTGGGGGACGGCCGCTGTGGGCGCCGGCGCGTGCCAGAGGGCGACCGGGGCCTGCTGATGGCCAAGGGGGCGACGGCGGCAGCAGACGGCGCGGTCGTGAGCGCCCCCGCGCGGCCGCGCAGCTGCTTGCCGCGTGTGCGGCGCTGCTGCGAGTGGAGGCCGATGGCTCGCACATCGAGGACTTCCTTGCCGCCGTGGCCCGCCCGAAGTTCCGCATGCTGCTGGGCGCGACGGGCGGTGGCCCCGAGGGCGGCGGCGCACTGCTCGCGAAGGCCTTCCCGAAGGAGGCGTGGCTCCCAGCCCTGCAGCTCGACTTCGCCGCCGCCGCAGGGGGGCCTCCGCCCGCGCCCGGCCGCGGCGGGGGTGGGCCCGAGGGCGTGGTTCGGATCTTCGTGCACGAGGCCCAGAGGAGACAAAAACGGCACAAACGTGAAGCTTTCGGAGTTCCGCGCTGATTGCTTGGATCTGCGCTGTGCCCCCCTGGCGGCGCCTCCTCCTGCTCCTCCGCCTCCTCCTGCGCCTCCTGTTCCTCCTCGTCGTGATCGTAGTCGTCCCCGTCGCCGTCATCGTCGTCGGCGTCGGCGTCGGCGTCGGCGTCAGCGTCGGCGTCGGCGCCGCCGTCTAGAGGTGCCCGCCTGCGCAGGCGAGGCGGTGCTGCAGGAGTTCTTGGCCAACACGGGCTTCGGTTGGGCGCAGGCTCAGAGGAGGAAGAGATATCGTCACATCGCGGTCGCTGAAAGTAGGTGTTTTGGAGGATTCCCAGATCCCAATCGACTTTAGGCGCCTTCCTATTTCAATGATCGAGCGGTTTCACCTTTCCTTCCTCTTCGGGGGGCGGGCGGAGGTGTGTCGCCTATTCATCCGACCGACGGGTGCCACTGCTCTTCCTGGAGAGCAATCGCTACCATGACTGGGTTCCTTTAAATTCTGGCCAGGAAGCACCCCAGGAGAGGTCCGCAGAGTGGCGGTAGCGGCATCTCTGTGTTCCCCCACAGGCAGTGCGCTTGCATGCAGAGCACGCGGCGGCAGTGCACCGCGCGGTGTTGGACTCTGGCGCGGTGGTTGCAGACGAGGCGGAGGCTACTGTGTTCTACATCCCCGCTTTCTTTGGCCTGCTCGTCGAGCGCTGGATCGACACCCAGGATCCAGAGCACTTAAACTGCATGGCGGAGACCTGGCGTGTCCTACCCCAGGGGCTCTTCATGCGAAACGCTGGTTACGACCACTTCATCTCCGCAGGGACGAGCCACCCGTACTCCATCTGTGACGCTACGGAGTGCGACATCACAGCCTACCACCCTTTTGCTGGTAATGTGATGGTCCTGGCTGGAGGTGTCCGCGATCTGGGCCATCCCGGCTTGGCATTCGAGCCAGCGACCATGTACAAGCTGCTACGCTTCATTACCGTTCCTTTCCCTGTCACGCTTGACTGCCAGAGGTTGGCGGAGCTGGCCGACGCCTCCCACCAGCGGCCTGTTGCGGTGGCCTTCATGGGCAGTGAGAACTCCCGCGTCCGGCGCATCTTCCGGGAAATGTACGCCGACGAGCGCTGGGGCGGGCGCGGTGATCCACGCGTGGACATTCGGATCTTCCCGGACGGAGGGGACGGGGAGGCAGCGCGTTTCGTGGCTTTGGGAAGCGGCGGCAATGGCACAGGGTTTTGGTCCGCCGAAGGCGCCATCGCGGAGCTGTACGCCCACTCGCAGTTCTGCCTGGTGCTCCCCGGCCACATCTACGACCTCGGCCGCCGCGCCTACGATGCGATGTCTCGTGGGTGCCTGCCTTCGTTAGCAAATCATGGGAGCCTTGTACACCCTCGAAATTCCGTCTTCAGAATGCATCAGCGTCGATCAGCGTCTGGGAATCGATGATCTAGTGCCGATTCAGCGTAGATTAGCGTGGGTTCGCGCCGATTTAGCGTCGATGTAGCGTGGGTTAGCGTCAATTTAGCGTCGAGCAGCGTCGGTTCGCAAGAGCCAATCTGATGGTATGGGAGGTTCCCATGAGTTGCCACCGAACCTGCCGGTCGTCGTCGCCGCGACGCCCATGCATGTCAGCGTGCCGTTCGCGTGGCAGTTGCCCTGGCACGATCTCGCCGTCTTCGCCACCGTCGAGACGGCTGGGGACGCCGCGCGCGTGGTGGAGGCCCTCCTGGCGGCAGCGGGGAGCGCGGAGGGGCTTGCGCGTATCGCCGCGAAGAGGACCGCGCTGCTCCGGCACGCGCCGGAGCTGTTCCTGCCGCCTCACTCTCGGGGGCGCCGAGGAGTGGTCGAGGGCGAGGCGGGGTGAGGGGCCAGGGATCTTTGATGCACAAACGGATTGGGTCAGAGACGCGATCATCAACAGCCCACTTCAACAGGCGGGGTGCCCAGGCCGTGATGTCCCCCAGATCTCATGGCCGTCTGTCCTTCCTTTCTTCCGCGCGTCTCCTGGCCTGCCCCCACCCACCCCACGTCCGCGCACCGGCCTCGTGGGCCATGGTGCGCCCCCCCCCCTCCCGCGTCCTGGCATCCCTCTCGGGCGCACCCGGCACTCGAACTGCCCGCCGAGCGCGCCGTCGGCGGCCTCGGGTATCCTGCGCGAGCTGGCGGTGCGGCAGGCGTCGTGGGCGGCGCTGCGGGCCGTAAGGCCCGCGGGGTGGCCCCAGAGCGGCGAGGTGCGCCTGTGAGCCGCCGTGGGGTGCGGCGGCCGCAGGGGCGTGGGCCGTCGTGCGCAGCAAAAGGGCCGGGACCCCCAGATCGCCGGAGACCCCTTCTCGACCACACGCAAGAGTGACCTTTCGCCAGAGTGACCTTGTGGTGCGGGCCCAGAACGATCGTCCACTGCGATGCGACAGCAGCGGCTTGCGCGCTTGGCGGTGTTTGCCAAAGTTCACTCTTGCCTAGGGTCACTCGTGCGTGTACCCGACCCTCGAATCGTGGACAAAAAAGGGCGGGAGGCTTTCTGCTGTTTTCGGAGTCCTCTCCGGGCCCTGGGGCCGTCAGGCACGGACTCGAGATAAGAAGCCGGTCCCGTGGAATGGGTCGAGATTTCCAAGGATCCATGTTTTTTGTCAGGCAAATCACGACGACGCAGTCTGGGTCTCGTGACCCCTTCGCAGGAGGTCCGGCCATCTTCCGCAACGAAATACTTATCCCGTCACCTGTCAGGGGGAAGAGTCTCGTAGGTTACACGCCGTTTTTGTTGGAGGCGCGCGCGCGCGTCTTTGGCTCAAACGCTGGCGCACCTCGTTTGGGGAGGCTGCAACTCGCCATTCTAGTTGTCTGTTAGCTTGGGTTTGCGGCTCGTCATTCTGCTGGGAAGCGCGGCGCAGAAACGGTTGTGCTTCGGCGCAAATGCGGACATGGCAGGCGACGTGGAACGAGTTCGGGGATACTTCTTTACTCATGGTTTTGCCGTTGTTTTGCCTCGCGGGAGGCTTCATGGGAGTGCGCCAGGGCGCGACGTGTCTCGACGCCTGTGCGTTCACAGGCCTGTAGGGGCCAGGGTTTTTATGGTTTGGGGATAACTGTGTTAGTTCTTTTGGGCTCGAAAAAAATATCCCCAAACCGTTAGGGGCACATCAGCTCGGGGGTGAGTTCAGACACTTTGGGAGGTCCCCATCTCGGCTGCTTTCCCGTGGAAGGTTGCTGCGCGGACTGATTTCACTCCGTTGGATTCGCCTGATTGCTCATGATATTTGTTCTTCGCCTGTGCGGTAACTGTTCAAAATGTGGGCGGACGAGTCCTTTGGCCCGATTTGTCTGTCAGTTAGTCAGTTTTTTGCAACGCGCGCACCAATGCATTGTTTTTTGGGCGAAGCGATCTCGCACTGCCAGAGTTCAGCCGCAATGTTGATGGAGCGGCGTTGCCATCGTAGTGCAAAACAATTGAACCCTTGGTGGGCGACCAACAACCCTGGACACGTGTAGGGGTACACTAATTTCACCACGCATATCTGTCCCAGCTCTGCGTTTGTTGCTAGGATGGGCCCTGGCTCAAGGGGTCCCCAGCCGTCTGCGCCATTTTGGAGCCGTTGGGGCCCTCTGGGCCTCGTGAGGGATGCTCTGGGCGCCATCTGTCACCAGCCTGAAACATAGATCCTCATCCTTAGACTTGGCATCACCTTCTCTCCATGTTGATCTCAAGGTGCCCCTCAGTTCCAGAGGATCGCCTCTGGGCTTGTCAATCTCCAGGGTAGGGATTAGCTCGAGGCTGGATGCTCTGAGCCACCCTGGGCCTCCTGGGGGCACCTTGAGCTATGCACACCTGGGGAAACACCCGAGCTCCCACTGCCTCGGGGGCGGACAGAACCCCCAACAGTGACACGTCGATTAGTGAACTGTCCGTTTTCGGTTCTCGAGAGGGCGCCACGGCCGTTATTTTCCAGGCTTGCGCCCGCCAGGTTTGGGCCTCGGGTCGTTTTCACTAAACCACGTTTTACTAAATGGAGGTCTGTCCATCCCCGACTGCCCCAGAGCCCAGCGCGGCCGCCGCGGCTGGGGAGGCCGACGCCGCGAAGGTCGCCCCCCTCGCTATTCTCGTGGTCCTCGTCCTCGTCCTCGTCGTCGCTGCCCTCGTCCTCGTCGTCCCCGCCTCGTCCTCGTCCTCGTCCTCGTCCTGTCGTCGTCGTCCTCGTCTTCATTATTTATCACCGCCGCCGCCAGGGAGGCGGCGAAGGAGGCGGCGAGGCTGTTCAGAAAGAGAGAGAGAGAGAGAGAGAGACAGAGAGAGTCAGAGAGAGAGAGCGAGAATGGATGACGGCCGAGGATCACAGGGAGTCTGCGTGGAGAAGGGAGTTTGAGAAGAGGCTGAGAATCATGGCCGTCCTCGTCGCCCTCGCCTGGTAGGGAGGAGCACCCCCCTCAGGACACCACGCCCTCGCGACCGGGCCTCAGACCGCGGGCCGCCGCTGGGTGTCGTGGTCGTAGCTGCCGCCGCCGCGGCATCTCAGGAAGGAGCAAGAACCGCACAGACACAAAGAATCGCCAATCCCCAGGAAAATGTTTGAAGATATGGGAAGTGGAGGGGAAGATGGCACTCAAGGAAATGTGGAAAACTATGAGGAATCCTGGGACTCGGGTCTATTTGTTTGAGTGTCCCTGGGCCCCTTCATCACCGTCGCTGTCGCCAAAGTTGTGCTCGCGGTGTCGCCGCCCTTCTCGGTACGCTACGACAGGCGCGTCGTCGTCGTCGTCGTCGTCGTCGTCGTCGGCGTCGTCGTACGTCTCATCGCGATGGAGCAAGCGGGTCCTGAGGAAAGAGTGCCCTCAGGTTTCTCGCCACTGTTGGCTTCCCTGGGCCCTCTGCGGACCCCGGGGGAGGGCACCAGGGTAGCAGGGCCCGTGTTCTTCGGGACCCGTCTTCTGCGCGCCGATCATCTCGACCACTCAGGCGTCTTGGAACAGAATGAGGGCGGCACATCCCGCGACCGTGCTTGGGTTGTGGGTCAGTCGGCGGCGAAATCCGAACCCTATCCTCGCCGATCAACGTTCAGGCAGCTCTATGGGCGGACGGGGTAGGGTTCGGAGTTTGTGGATCGAACACGTGGCGAACGCGGAACCCTACCCCGCCCTCCATCGACTCATGAGAATCGGTGGCCGGTGGGGACAGGGTTCGGATGTCGCCACCTAGCCAGCGCGAAGCGGGATCGATTGAGGGCCCGAGCGTGTTTCCAGCCGTGCTCTGGCAGGCGCTTCCCACGAAGGGCTTCGACGACGGATCACCGCTGGGAGTGCCTCGGTGTCCTGGGGCGTGTGCCTCTCCGGGGCTGGTCGGGAGCCCCTTGGCGGCACCCAGGGGCCCTCGTGGGGTCTTCCTGGAGGGCGGGGCGCCTCGTGATCACTGGGCCTCGCGGGGGGGCTGCTCCCACCTCCGACCTGCTGGTTTGCCCGTGCCGCTGTCTTGCTGCCTCGTGCGCTGCGCCTTGCCCGTCCCTGCTGCATCCTGCCGGCTGCGCCCCACAGCCTCGGCCTCCTGGATGCCGTCCTCCCCACGGCCCCCCCCCACTGCTTCGTGACCTGCTGACCTCCGATGCTGTACCTGCTGCCTGCTGCCCTCCTGCTTCGGGATGCCGCCAGAGGTGTCCCCGGCCACAGGCGGCCCCAGCCTTTGCCGGGAGGCCCGCGCGGTCTCCAGGGCACTCCACACGAAGCCCAGGGTGCCCCCTGTGCCCCAGAGGGGCGCCAAACGTTCCCAGGGCCACCTTCCCAGGGCGCCACCTTCCCAGGGCTGTCCTCCTCCCTCTCCCCCCATCCTCGTACTGTGGTCTCGTGCAGTGTCGACAAGGCGGCGACCTAGCCGCGGGCGGTCCAGGTTGAACAGCGATTGTGGCCCAGGATCGGCCATTATGGAACGCTTTGGCGCTCGAAAAGCTGTCGATCGTCAAAGGTTGAATGTTTCACGCTGCTTCAGACATCAACGCATTGGTCGTCACGACACGAACCTATTACATATCCTGTCCTTCCGCATCCCAGTCTTACCCCCTTTTCATCCCTCCCGCCTTCATTCTGCGCCCTTTCTGCTGGGTCGATTCCGCGAGCCGATGCGTGCACGCAATGGTGTTGTTGGTGCACGCGGGATAGCAGCATGTTGTCCTTCGTGGTCTACGCAAGCTCACGTGCGCTTGTGGTGCAGACGGGCTTCAGCTGTCAGTGTGCGAATCCACAGGCTGCAAGCACGCGAGGCGTGTCAGTCCTCCCAGTGCATTGTAGTTCCTTCTGCCGCACTTCCCGTCGGCAATGATGTGCTTTTCAACGAGTGTGTCCTCCCTGCTCCTACCCAGAGGAACAACGCGTCATGATAATGATCGGTTCCGGAATGTCCATGGGGTATCGTTCTTGTTCTTAGTGTACCAGAACGAGACCAAAACGTGGCTTGATTTCCCGCGACGTAGCAGACTTAGACACTTAGACGTGTCTACCATGTCTTGCTCCGCACGGGTACCAGAAGCGAGGGCCGCTGGGCTCCCCAGAACTCCTGGACAGTGTCTTGAGCCAGCCGCAGCACGACAGCTTGATCATCTTGCCTAGTCATGTTCCTCCTGCTCCTTGTCCTGACGTCTGCGCTCAGAGCGTAGAATGACGCAGACGCTCTAAGGTACGATATAGCTCGGGATTCGCGCCCACGCAGCGCCGGCTATTTTCTGGCGAGCTTGCCATTCGGACATGAAGCTGTGCCACTAGATGCCACCTTCTGCCTGATGGCACGGGGGGCCACGAATCAACATTCTCGTTCACTAATGCATTGTCGTATATCTTTTCAGGCATGCACCATTCGCGAAGCGACGCACGCTGACCCATCAGATCTGCCCTTCCTCTCGTCCCATCGTCGTCCTCGGAGGGGTGGTTGGGAGAGAGCTGGCGTCAGTGGAGATTCGCCGTCTCTGGACGTGAGGGCCTTGAGCTGGGTACTAGTTCCGAGTTGATCGCTGCTGCTCCTCTCCTTGTCCTCTCCTCCCACCCACCTCCGCCTCGTCGCGTCTCTCCCTGCGCAACTGCCGTCACCTTCGGGAGCTCCCTGGGAGGTCCCGAGGAGTGCGGCCTTACCAGGATCCCAGTGGTACCTCACCGCCACGCTGGGCGCTGCCAACTGCGCAACTGCCGCCATTGGTCTTGAGCTACTGCGCGACTGCCACCTTGTCTTGAGCTACTGGGGAGGTCCCGCCGAGTGCGCCCATGCCCAAAACCAAATGAGACACTGCCTCGATGTGCGCTGCGAGCTGCGCATCTGCCGCCATGTTCGTGAGCTCCTGGGAGGTCAAGCGGAGGCAGATCTTGCTCAGATCCAAAGGAGACCTAATTTATTGTGAGTTACATGTGCACACGCGTGTATGTATACATGCGCAGGGAGATAGGAAGGAGTAGTTCGAAAGACAGAGAAAGAGAGGGATAGCGTATGAGAGAGAGGTAGAGGCAGAGAGGAACAGAAGAGGTGGATGAGGGGGATAAGTGGAAGTGGAGAGAGGCAGGGAGGGAGAAGACTTAGGCGACTGACCGCTTCCAGACGTCCGAATGCCCGCGAATGGTTTGGACAGCTTTGCCATTCAGAAGGGGAGTGTTCGCCTCGGAGCCGCTTGGGCTGTCGGCCTCTGAGCCCCCGCTCGCGTGGGGATGCCTGCCAGCCGTCCCTTGGCACCGCGGGGCCGACTCCTTGAAGGGAGGGCCTCCGCGCCTCGCCCGGGCATCGCAGCGGCGGTCGTGCCCGGCAGCTCGCGGAAGAGGCCAGCGGCGAGGGCGGTGGCCTCACTTGGAAGGCGCCCCGCTTCTCCGAAGCCGCCCTGCCTTCTGGGGGAGCCCTCCTCTCAGCCAGAGGAAGAGAGGGTGCCCTTACCGCTACGTTTCTCCCGTTGTCCCCTTCCTCCTCCTCCTGAGAGGCGACGATCGAAATCATGGCCAGAACCCTCCCCAGGAGAGGTCCGGGGAGTAGCGCTATTGGTACCTTTTGGTTTCCCCTCCTCCCAGGGGCATCCCAGGAAGGGGCCGCCTCCCAGCTGAGAGTCCTTCCCGCCCCTCTCTGGAAGGGCTGCCACCCTCGCCCGGCCCGCTTCCGTGGGCGCCGCGAACACGCACACCAGTCTCCCAGTCATCATGCCCGGCCACACCGCACACGTCTAAGATAGCTTCAGAGCCCCCTCCTGCCCGAAGGCAGCAGCGGCGGGCTCAGCAGCGTGCGGCTTGTGTTCGGGCGGAAATCGGTCGACCCTGGTGGTGATGGCAGCTCGCTTCGAGACTCCGACTGCCCTGGTATTCCCCAGTGCGAGACAGCGCGACGGCACACGGCAGCTTGAAGCTTGAGGCCCAGCTCGTTGGACCCGTGACCCATCGCACACAGAGGGGCATTCGCCGTTGTGACAGGAAATGGGGCATTTGGGACGAGCGGCAGGGTTGAACGCGATTGGGCTGTGCAAGGGGCTCGTGTGGAGAAACGAAGTCGTAGCGTCGGGGTCTTGTTCCTTGTCATCGGAGCGGCAATCGTCGTGGGGCCGCCCCTGCCGCCACTCGACGCCGCCCGCCCAGCCAAAGTTTGCAGCTTCGTCCGACGCCGCGGAGGAGTCCGCGCTCGACGCCGTCGGGCGTCGAGTAATGGGGGTGCGATAAATGGAGGGTGAAGGTAGGTGCACCTTTTGTGCCGAGGGCCTCCAAAGTCGTATGAAAGGTACACGCTTCACCCCCCCACTTCTCGCCCCCCATTAAACAACGCCTGCGTGTGGGGGGCGGTCTGGCGACAACCAGGGCCATTTAGCCCTCCTCCCCTCCCCCCCCCGACAACCTGATTCGGTTGCGCAGGTCCCATGGCGGAGTTCCCCCCCAAGAAAATCTGGGGGATCGTTGGTTTTTGACAACAAGTCGAATCGTGTCCCCACCCACTGTGTGGCCGTGTTCCTCTGCGTCCCCTTGTCTTGAAGTTGCCCCCCGTACAAGCGCGACATTGACCAGAGCTTGGCGACGAAGAAAGGCGGTCCTGAGGGAACAGGGTCCCGCATTCGTTTTACCATTGTCGGCTTTACAGGGCCCTTTTCTTGGGCGCGGGGCTTCCAGAAAGCGTCTTGGGATGGCAAGCTGGCCATGGGGGAAGCTCTGAGGTACAGGACCCGTTTCCCTCAGGACCCCCTCTTCATGCTTTTGTTGCATTCCAGGTTTGCCATGTAGGTGATTGGGCCCACGCCACTCTCCACCGAACACGCGCGCTGTCTGTATACAGAAGGCACGTTCAGTAAGACACCAGCGTGCCATCAGCACGGAAGTCTCTTATCCACTAAGTAGCCTTGAGGACCCACAGCAGCCAGGGAGGCCCAATAGTTCCTATAGTATGACTCCGTCCTTGCGGGAGGCAACCGCGGGAGTTCCGTTCTTAGTCCGTCGGGGGGCGTGCTTCTTCACCCGTAAAGGGAGCATGCTTTTGGGGCGTGACAGTGAGGCTAGCATTCAGAGTTGACTGTAGAGCATCCCTTGTTTCACTTTGGCTAGCGAGTTCAAAGGTCGTGAAGCGGTCCTCCATGCTGCCAAATCACAAGAATGAGTTTCGCCTTCTGTGCCGTGAACGGGCCTATAGAGGGCCCCCCTGGGGCCCCGAAAGGGGCACGACAGGTGCACGTTTCCCCTCGCCCTCCCACACACCCGGCCTCGTCATCGCCTCCTATCAATTGACGCCCGACGCCGATTGTCGACACTGAACGGGTGTGGCTTCGCGGTGGAGCTTCAGGGGAACAAGAGGTCATGGTAACGGTATGTCCCAAGGTGTCCCAGATTTCCATGACCTCCTATTGTTCCACACGCGCTGCAGAAACGACGACCGCTAGATCAGAGTGAGGGGCTGGACGGTCTTGCACCATCCTTGGGTGCGTAGGTGCGGTGTGATTTCAATGCCCGGATTGTGCTCATCTGTTGTTTGTTGCCGTCCTCGTCCCCCCTGCGACCCACCTGCGACCCACCCCGCGACCCACCCCGCGACGCACCCGCAACCCACCCGTGATTCAACCCGCGCCGGCCCCTCGATATGATCCACCATTGCAGGGTGCTACGTGCTCCAGAATTCCTGGCACGTATGTTGAGCCAATCTCCGCCACCATGAGTATACACAGACACCTCCAATGGATTGTTCTTGGACCCGAGGGTGGCGATGCATAGATCACCACTGAGAGCCAGCGATCTTATACACCGCAACCCTCCCTGCAGGTGCATGCAACGTTCGTCGGAGGGTTCCCGTGTTTATGTGTTATATATACATATGTTGTATGTGTGTTTGTATGTATGTATGCATGCATGCATGTATGTATGTATGCACGTATGCGTGTGTGTATGCATGTATGCAGGCATGTATGTGTGTATATGTAGGTGTGCGTGTATGTATGTACATATGTATGAGTTTATGTATGTATGCATCTAAGTTGGTATATATAGTGTAGTATAGTGTAGTGTATTGTAGTGTAGTGTGGTATAGTGTATTGCATTGCATTGCATTGCATTGCGTTGCGTTGCATTGCATTGCATCGCATCGCTTTGCTTTGCTTTGCATTGTACGCATGTACGTAATGTATGTATGTATGTGCGTACGTATGTATGTATGTTTGTATGTATGTCTAGATGTATGTATGTATGTATGTATGTATGTATGTATGTATGCATGTATGTATGTATGTATGTATGTATGTATGTATGTACGCGGCCGGGCGTCGAGCTGGGGCAGACCCGTCTGCCCTACGGGCCCTCTCTCTATGTATGTACGTACGTACGTACGTACGTATGTATGTATGCATGCATGTATGTATGTATGTATGTACGTATGTATGTATGTATGTATGCATGCATGTATGTATGTATGTATGTACGTATGTATGTATGTATGTATGTATGTATGTATGCATGCATGCATGCATGCATGCATGTATGTATGTATGTATGTATGTATGCATGCATGCATGTATGTATGTATGTATGTATGTATGTACGTATGTATGTATGTATGTATGTATGCATGCATGTATGTATGTTTGTACGTATGTATGTATGTATGTATGTATGTATGTATGTATGTATGTATGTATGCATGCATGCATGCATGTATGGATGTATGTATGCATGCATGCATGCATGCATGCATGTATGTATGTATGTATGCATGCATGCATGCATGCATGCATGCATGTATGTATGTATGTATGTATGTATGCATGCATGCATGTATGGATGTATGTATGTATGTATGTATGTATGCATGCATGTATGTATGTATGTATGTATGTATGTATGTATGTATGCATGCATG